CTTGTCGGCATGGGATTTCGGAGAAGGTGTAGGAAGTACCGATGCAGCTTCACTCTTCGCTTTCGCCTTAGGACGTTTGGGAGGATCACCTGTAGACGATGCAGCCGCTTCATTCTCCTTCTTGGTCTTGACGGGAGCGGCAGGCTTGTCTGCATCTTCTAAGGCAGGTGTCGTCTTGTTAGAGGACAATGACAGTTTCACTGCACGTTCTCTATCTTTCAACAGTCGTTCTTGCTTCCCTCGTGCTATGTATCCCTTGATCATACCAGTTAGGTAAGCATAGGTCTTCTCATGATGCCCTTCATCAAAGGTTTTGTATCGGTTGATATCGAAGGCCATAAGCTTTGAATGTTCAATCTTCCGGAACAATGTGTCACGCAGGGAATTGTTGGAAGGCAGATCATCATGTTTCATATTGTATACGATGTCAAGCCACTTGTTGTAGAAGGCCTCAAGTTGGTCATCTCCATAGTAGTTGAACATATACAAATGATGGGCATTGTAGAGAACTTCAGTGTGGTCAGGTGACTTGAAGCTAATCAATATCATTGCAAATAGTTCTCGTCCCTTGATGAAGTCCCCACTTCTCCCATACAATTGGTTCTTCATGGACATGTCATACTTCACTTGCATGGACTTGTCCCCAGCATTGTCAATGACTTTCCTCAAGGCATTGGAGAGCTTGGCATCAATGGATTGGAATCTCACATCAGGAGCTTTGGCCAGCGCCTCCAAGTCAGGTTGATCTGCAAGACACGGAGCTAACCACGCCTTCCAATCTTCATAGTTTCGATCTCCACTTGCAACGCAAACTTCATGAACGACACTTCCCTTCCAGGATGAAAGTTCAGTGGTCTTAGGCCAGGGTTGGAGGCTGATCTTTTCGGCTTCCCTTAGAGATACAGATGACTTGGATCTATCCCTTTCAAGGTTCTCCAACTCCTTGACATTTGTGTTGTACTCGTTCCTGAGCTTCTCGAAGGCTTCAGCTTCTGCTCGGTATTCCTGCTCTTCATCATTGGCACGATCTTCAGCTTGAGAGAAATTGTTCTTATAGTAATCTTTACGATCTTCCATCTTCTTCAACTCATCTTGAAGATTTCGAACTTCAGCGTTCCTCTCTTGCTTCATCTCGTCCAACTCTGCTTTCAGTTTGGCACACTTCTCTTCACATTCATTCCGAGGCATGGCATTACTGGGGTACCCATGTAATGTAGTCGGTCTATTCATTGATGAAGAAGAATGAGCTTGGTTTTCCAACTTCAGGGCAGCAATGGTGCTCGACATTTCTTCTACCTCAGCGTAACGCTCATTGGCCAATTGATGCATCTCGGTCAAATGGCTTTCAGGAATGGAATAGTCATTCGCACCTTTGATCACGAGTCTTCTGTCGTTCAACATCTTGATGGACTTACCTGCATCCCTGTGAGCACGCTCAAGAGAGTCCTTTTGGGCTTCAAGTTCAGTATGAAGGCGAGCAATAGCTGTGTCCCTGTCATTGATTTCATTGTGCAAACTGTCGAACAAGTTACTCGTCACATTCGGATTGTTGCTCATGTGATCGATCTTGTTCAGAGCATCTTGATATTTCTTACCAGTTTCATCAAAGTTTCGCTGGAAGACTTTGAGCAGGTCCTCAGTGTCAATGAGTTCAGATCTATTCTGCAAGTACAACTTGTCAACTTCGGCCTTGGATTCTTTCAAGCTGTCACGTTCACGCACGGCTTGCATGTACATCTCGTATAGAGGTCCTCCATGCGGTGATCTGCTTGGTGAAGATCTTCTGGCTTGTTGACAGGAAAGTTCATGATACTGATTCTTCGATTCAGTCAGTTGCTGTTGCATTCGATCTAAAAGACTTTGTTTCATGTGTAGTTCAGAACGTAGTCCCATTATCCTCATGTCCCGCATGCCACCTGATTCAGCTAGAGATTCTTCAGAAACCCTGTTCTCAGAAATCGCTAGTCGAGATTGTAAGTTCTCACTGTGGATCACCTGTAATCGAAGCTGTGATTCTTCCAAAGCTAAGTGATGTTCACATTCTGCATAACGGTCATGTTCAGATCTTATGTTACTACGGAACTCCTTCATGATCTCGTCCCTCTTCATGTCAGCAGCATCTAACTCAGTTTCCAGTCGCCTGACATTCATGGCCATGGTGTGCTTCATCGTCTGGTTCTGATTGGCAACCTCGAGCATCTCGATCTGCAAAGCACATGTTTGGTCATTAGCATAGCCGACTGCTAGAGCTTCTTGCTTGGCATTCATCTCTGCGTTTTCCAGTTCCAGTCTGAGTTGATTGATGTGAGCATTCGCGTCAGTTCCCACATGTACCATAATTGCGTTTGCTTGTCCCATTTGTTCATCGAATTCCGAACGTAGTCGTGAATATTTGAATTCCAAATGAGATGCAGCTTCATTCGACATAGTCTGATACCTTTCCAACTCTTCGATCCTGTAGGTCGCACCTTCATCTTCTTGCTGTGCAGCCTGTAACTCGAAGTTCAGCATCTGGAGTTGTTCGGTCATCGACATCATCTCTTGATGAGTGGTGCTTTCCAGGAAATTAAATTGTTGATAGGCATATGCTGTCGTCTCACTCAATCTTGCCTGAAGTACAGATTCTTCTTCAGTGGCCCTTTCCAGTGATGATTTGTACTCAGTTAATTCACTCTGATAGGCAGTGAAGATGTCGCTACCACTTGACGGGGCATTCACTTGCTGACAAGATCCTGTCCCTGATGGAGTAGCGTCCTGAATCGGTGAAGGCGGATTCGACGACGTAGTCTTTGCCTTAGTCCTTGGAGTCATCGGAGGCGACAATTGTCGTGCAGATGATCTTCTCTTTCCAGGTGTGCTGTCCCTATCTTCAATGGCTTGCATTGTCGAAATTTGTCTCCCTCTAGGAGCAACCAGAGGTCGCCTGGGTAGGCTTGTTCTCAATTCTGAGGCATCGCTTCCACCAGTGTCGATACTCTGTGAAGAATTTGACTGCGTGCCGGCAGCTGGTGCGACGGCATGTCCAGAGAAAGAAAATGCGTTATCGCTGCTATCCTGTTCAGTCATCTGTAAGGCCCGCGGCTACCCGCTCGTAGGCTCCGTAGGAGTCCTACGGCTGATAACCTGTGAATCGGAGGTTATCTCCCCGATTATGTGCTGTTGTTTGATCTTGAGGTTGATGTTCTCAACAACGACGACACGGGAATTGCAGTTTCAGCATGGCGGCGTTTTTCTCTTGGCACCTGCAGTAATCTTGAGCCAAAGGAGCAAATTGATGCACCCCTTGGCGGTGGACAATTAAGAGTTGAATTATATGGGAGTGCGCAGTGATCCGTAGCCTACACTCCATTCGCAGTATGTATGTATGTATGTATGTATGCATGCATGCATGCATGTATGTATGTGTGTGTCTGTCTGTCTGTCTGTATGTATGTATGTATGTCTGTATGTATGTATGTATGAATGTATGTATGTATGTATGTATGTGTGTATGTGTGTATGCGTGTATGTGTGTATGCGTGTATGCGTGTATGCGTGCATGCGTGTGTGCGTGTGTGCGTGTGTGCGTGTGTGCGTGTGTGCGTGTGTGCGTGTGTGCGTGTGTGCGTGTATGCGTGTATGCGTGTATGCGTGTTTGCGTGTTTGCGTGTTTGCGTGTATGCGTGTATGCGTGTATGCGTGTATGCGTGTATGCGTGTATGCGTGTATGTCTGGGTGTCTGTGTGTCTGTATGTCTGTATGTCTGTATGTCTGTATGTCTGTATGCCTGTATGCCTGTATGCCTGTATGCCTGTATGTCTGTATGTCTGTATGTCTCTATGTAAAAAAAATACTGTATGTCTGTATGTCTGTATGTCTCTATGTCTGTATGTCTGTCTGTCTGTCTGTCTGTCTGTATGTATGTATGTATGTATGTATGTGTGTATGTGTGTATGTGTGTATGTGTGTATGTATGTGTGTATGTGTGTATGTGTGTATGTATGTATGTGTGTGTCTGTGTCTGTGTCTGTGTGTATGTGTGTATGTGTGTATGTATGTATGTATGTATGTATGTATGTATGTACGTATGTAAGTTTGTTTGGATGGATGGATGGTATGCATATAATCCCATGGTTGCACTTCCAAATGTAAGCGAAACGGTGGAATTTCAGGGTGAACTTCTGAGATCTTCCAGGTGGGGCAGAGAGTGTACCCACAATAATGGTTATATAATGGTTATTTATATATACTATATATATAATGGTTATATAATTAATGATGGTTAATAAATTAGCTAAGGATTATATAATGATGGTTAATGATGATTGATAATGGTGAATGATGGTTGATAACAACTCTGGTTGGTGGTATACCTACCCCTCTGAAAAATATGAGTTCGTCAGTTGGGGTTACTATTCCCAATATATGGAAAAATAAAAAATGATCCAAACCACCAACCAGACAACTGCCTTCAGAAATGGGACATCTCTATTAAGCACCGTGGTGACACTGTGCGCAAGCGATGCCGACTCACGCAGCGATTCACAACACCAAAGGAAGCACAGATTGATTTCCGCTCATGTCATGGCCTCATGACTTGTCTCTTAGGTGGTCCCCTTGGGAAACATGCTTTATCTTTACTCAAAAAATGGTGATGTTTAGTTGCTTGAGGTACTTTTCTTCGATGTATGGCACCAAAAAAGAACACAATCTACCGAACCAAGGTTTACCAAGTTTACCCCATTTTATCCAATCTCTTTATGCCATCTGCGGAAGAAAGATAAAACAGACAGGCTCATTCGTGGTGGTTCCCCGAGTCTACAATCATTTGACCAGCCACATGGCTGCTGTCAGTTCTGCAATTTTCGGAAGCATCTGGTCTTTTTTTTTTTGGAGAATGTCCATTTCCAAGTTGGTTACCGGTCGCCCAAAGGGTAAAACCAATACACGACGACATCGTTCTATATCACAAGGTACTTCTGTTTGAATTTTCCAAAGTCAGAAATGAGTCATTTTTTGTGCCCAAATATGCCCAAATACTTTGGTGTCGCTGGCTCTGACACTGCAAATCCGTTTGCATCCGTCAAGTGGACATGTTATGACCACATCAGCAGCGTGGTCATTGGTGGTCCAGTTGCTGTTGAACTGGGACGTTTGTGCTGCTCAAAGTGAACTCAGGAATAAAAACCAGCACTCGTTGAAGAATTTAGGCCCCGAAAGGTGACAACCCGCTACTGACCCTTCAAAAACGTGGACCAATCAACCCAGCTGGTGCTAGTCCGAGGCTGACAGTTAGCATGGAACGACGCTGCCGCTGGCGCTCGGGCCGTCGTTCTCCTCCGGACCGGATGGGAGGATACACCATTTCAGCAACATCTTCCGGGTGCAGGACCCAGGTAGTAACAAAAGTAAGCTATATCCCACATATAACTGGGTTACATCATCTTACAAGCTACTTACTATATATCTGGGATTGGGATGCACGTCTAAGTAGACCCCTGCCAAAATCGGTGATTCTCGGGGTCTTGCTTTACTGGAGGCTAGATGGATTTGGCAGGTTCTTGTTCAGCTTTATGCGGCTACAAAGGTGAAACAGCATGAATCAACAACACCAACGCCAACAGCAACACCAACCAACACCAGCAGCAGCGGCAGCAGCAGCAGCGGCAGCAGCAGCAGCAGCACCACCACCAACAACAACAACAACACCACCACCACTACTAACAACAACAACAGCAACAACAACAGCAACAACAACAACAGCAGCAGCAGCAGAAGCAGCAGCAACAGCAACAACAACAACAACAACGACGACAGCGACAGCGACAGCAACAACAACAACAGCAGCAGCAACAACAACAACAACATCATCATCAACAACAACAACAGCGACACCGATCACAACAACAGCAGCAACAACGACAACATCATCATCATCATCAACAACAACAACAGCGACAGCGACAACAACAACAACAGCAGCAGCAACAATAATATCATCAACAACAACAACAGCAACAACAACAACAGCAGCAACAGCAACAGCAACAGCAACAGCAACAACAACAGCAACAGCAACAACAACAGCAACAGCAACAACAACAACAACGACGACAGCGACGGCGACAGCAACAACAACAGCAGCAACAAACACAACAACATCATCATCAACAACAACAGCGACAGCGATCACAACAACAGCAGCAACAACATCATCATCATCAACAACAACAGCGACAGCGACAACAACAACAGCAGCAACAACAACATCATAAGCAACAACAACAGCAACAACAACAACATCATCATCAACAACAACAGCGACAGCGACAACAACAACATCATCATCAACAACAACAGCGACAGTGATCACAACAACAGCAGCTACAACAACAACATCATAATCAACAACAACAGCAACAACGACAACATCATCAACAACAACAGCGACAGCGACAACAACAACAGCAGCAACAACAACAACAACAACATCATGAACAACAACAGCAACAACAACAACAACAGCAGCAACAACAACAACAACAGCAACAACAACAACAGCAACAACAGCAACAACAACAACAGCAACAACATCATCATCATCAACAACAACAGCAACAACAACAACAACAACATCATCAACAACAACAGCGACAGCGACAACAACAACAGCAGCAACAACAACATCATCAACAACAACAACAGCAACAACAACAACAACAGCAACAACAACAACAACAACAACAACAGCAACAACAACAACAACAGCAACAACATCATCATCATCATCATCATCAACAACAACAGCAACAACAACAACAACATCATCAACAACAACAGCGACAGCGACAACAACAACAACAGCAGCAACAACAACATCATCAACAACAACAACAGCAACAACAACAACAACAACAGCAACAACAACAACGACAACATCATTATCATCATCAACAACAACTACAGCAACAACAACAACATCATCATCATCATCAACAACAACAAAAGATGTATCTATTGAATATGTTAATATCATCACAGGGGTAGTTTAACCATCCCAATGAGGGGTTCAATCAACAAGGAATGGGATTTACATAGGTAAACCATCTATAAATGGGCCATTTTCCATGGCTATGTTAAATAACCAGAGGGTAATTGGATTTACAGTAACATATTTAACCAACACAGAACGGTATGGAAAACTATAATCAGAAATGCTAAGGGTTTCAAACAATGATATTTACCCCTATTTTTTGTTTTATGATTTCAAACAGTTTCTCATGTAGACCAAAATCAGACCGGGGGATCAAATCATTAAAATCAACAACAACGAACAGCCGCTCACTTAATTACCCGAAAAAAAGGGAGGATTGAACAAACACAAATAAAGACTCAACATTATTATGATTCAACCAACAAGCAAGAATGGCTTGCACCAGGTGAAGAAGATATCCCTGAGTCAGAAGTGTTTTCTCCGCATGGGAATGAGTCGGGTATGAGTCCGATCGCATGGATTGAATGCAACCCACCAGTTGGATCATGTCTTACAATATGAATATCATATAATATGAGTTCCCGTATATAACTAGACCTCAAATGACGTAACTAACTCAAATCATCTACTTACATCTAGTTGGACCACGGCCCTTAGACGGCCGTGGCGTTTTGTTGGGTTTGGGTGTGGGGTGGGGTGGGGCGGGGCATGTATTAGCGTTCATGTCAGCTTGCACATGAAGTAGAGTAGATGTTACGATGTGGCTGCCGGTTGGGGCATGTATTCACGTTCATGTCAATTTGCACATGAAGTAGATGCTACGCTGTGGTTGTCGCTTGGGACATCTGCTCACGTTCATGTGAATGTGCACATGAAGTAGATGCTACGTGGTTGGGTGGGGCATGTATTAACGTTCATGTGAACTTGCACATGAAGTAGATGCTGCGCTATAGCTGTCGGTTGGGCATGTATTCACGTTCATGTGAACTTGCAGATGAAGTAGATGCTATGCTGTGGCTGTCGGTTGGTGCATTCAAGTTCATGTGAACTTGGAAGAACTTGAAGCGCTGCTGTGAACACAAAACAGCTGAAAAAGTGTGGAAACCAAGTAGTTGCGGGCTGGGAAGAATCCGCAAAAATGCAGGTTTCGTGTAGGCAGTGTAGGCGAAATAGTTCTTTTCATTCTGCTGCCTGTAAATAAGGCGTTGACAGGCTTTACGCCAAAATAACACAAAATCCCACTGACACGAGCACATCCAATATCATTGGCAACTTCCCATGAATCAAAAAAAACACACGGCCATCTAAAGGCCGTGCTCCTAGTTACTGGAACTACTAAATCATCTAGTTCATATGGGTCCATGTGGTAAGCCAAAGGGATAAACATCCCCAAGTCATCACCATTTTTTTGGGGTGCTATGTTTACCATCCCCAAATGGTAGGTTTATGTAATTGGGTTTTGCACATTATTCAAGCTATTCATTCTTCATCCATTATTAAAATTCATTATTAGCCGTTATTTATACCACTATACACCATTATTGGTTTCACACATCAGGTGAAAGAATGGTTTATAACGGTTAAAATAATGGTTGATAATGGTTAATTACTGTGTAATTAGTAATAACTACATATTGCAGTTGCAACCAATATTACTGGTGGTTAATTGCATAGCTAACTAGTACAGCTAAGTATATCAATAAGAGCTAACAAACTAGTTGCAACTAAACTAGTTAAACAATGTTAAACAGTGTTAAACAACCATTTATACAACTAACTACGGTGGATGGTCGCGAAATCCTGCACCACCTGGGATGGTAGAAAGCCAAAATAATGGGATCAATCACCTTTTTTAACTGGTGCAGGATTTCGCAACCATCCACAGTAGTGCAGTTATTACACTCTGGTAAACGTTTACATAGCGGACTGGAAAATCACCACGTTTAATGGTAAATCAACTATGTTCATGGCCATTTTCAATAGCTATGTAACAAATGACCAGAGGGTATATCCCATTAATATCCCATTAAATCACTATAAAATCCCATTAAATCACCAGAGGGTACTGGCTACTGGAACTTTCTCTATATCCGTGAACTGCTACTGGAGCACCTGTGATCTGGACCTCCATAAGCCTTTGAACCTGAGCGCATCTAAGCGCCAGCGCCAGACAGCTTCCCGTGATGATGGGATGATGAAAAAAAATGGATGGATGCCACTTAAAAATGGGTGATTTAACATGAAAAATGGGAGTTTCCATAGTCATGGAGGATCCGCAATACATGGATGGTTTATATATAATATATAATAGAAAAACCTATGAAAAAGTGGATGATTTAGGGGTACCCCCCATTTTCGGAAACCCCCATGAAAAACATGACGACTAATCTGGATTTGACTAGGGAAGTAATGAGGATCTACCGTGACAAATTCAGGATTTAGCTGGAAAATGGAAAGACAATGGGGATTTAAACAGGAAACATCATGGTGGTGTAATGCCATTTTTAATGAGGGGACAATTGGATATGACATGATATGTGAATATATAGGGTATGAGCATATTTATGTGATTTGGTCTTGCCTGAACATAAGGTTCAACTACCCAAGAACTGCAAATGGCAATGGGAATATGATAACTATAATTGATAACTGATAACCCAGGGATTTTAGGGGTTGTTTTTTGGGGACAAACCCACTCGGCTTTCATTATACAAGCTGTATAGAGAGCGAACTCGTGCGAACAAATACAAGACTTGTGGTTTATTGTTTGTTTTCAGCCATGACATAGATTCTAGTGTAACCACGTGACGCACTTGGTGATGTTCACGTACCTTCTTCAGGTTACCTAACTACACCTAACTTATAAAAGAAAGGGAATCTATATGGATAGAAAGGGGCTTTGCCTCTCTGAGGGACCAGCGCCTCCAAAACATGGAAACAAACACCAAAAGCAAGGCTCCACAAGCCTCACCCTGGGGCTTGGCCAAGAGACAATCCACCCAACGTCCCAGCCTTTTTCCTAAGTGAAACTCGACCAGTTTTCGTCTGAAAAATGGTGTAGTTTCATTTTTTTTGGTAGGGCGTCCACGAGGGTTGCCGAAAGTAAAACAACGTGTACAAATCAAATTTGATTTGAACAGTTAATTACCATCCAGTGATCATAGCCATATAGAAAATCTGCCAATTTGGAAAAGATTTACGAATCAAAAAAAAATGCTAATTTACCACCGTGAAATGTTTGGCAATTTTCGGATAGGTACCCCTACCGAACTAACCATCAGGTCGTTATAGTTCACACGGCTTTGATGGTTTACATCCCCCACTCCAAGACAAAAACAACATTGGGGAGGAAAACTAGCAAGCACATGTTCTAAGGTTACCGGTTTCATTGACACAAAGGGGCATCTCAACAAGCGAAACGTGAGGTGTCTTTAATTATTTGATAACCTTGCTTATGTTGGAAATTCCCCGATTCGCAGTTTTTTGGAATAAACGTCTAAGCTAAATACACATGCAACATCATGCAACTGGCTTGGAACAGCCATGCTTCACTGGAACTACTGACCCCGAGCAG